CAGGATTTTTGACGACACATACAAATATCTCATGTACGTGTAGATAAAACTTTACAAAAATTCACAACCACGTAAAATTTTGAGTTTGTTAAAGAAAAGTTCTGCATCATTTTGCAAACGTCATCACGTCGGTTTTTAATTACTAATTAAAAAATATCCTTGCATTATCCGCCAATCTCTTTTAATTAAAAATGGTTATCTGCAAAATAGTAGCGAATTTTTTGGTTTAGTTTGGCACGATTTATACATGCACGAGAAATTTTTATGTAATTGTTAAACACCTTGTATATACATAACGCAAAAAATATTTATACACACATATAGAGTGTTTCGTACATCTTGATCATTTGAAATATTTCTGTTGTATTTGACGTTACAAAAAAATGTCTGGAGAAAAAGTTGCAAGGGAGTAATATTTTTTCTCAAGGCCATTATTTCAGAAATTTCAAGATCAAGGTCATTCTTTTAAGTGGGAGTATACATCTGTCTGGACGATCCATCGAATGGATTTCAGCAATCTATAACAATATGAGATCTACTGATGATTCTTGGGAAATACAGATATTCGAGGAAAAGGGAAAAGTAAAAATTTTATGCTTTAAGCTGAATCGACCCATCAGATTTCCTTTCGTTGGGATATTTAAAAATGAAAGTTGTCGATGCTTGACCGCAAGACATGCGAGGACAAACTCTGCAAGCATGTGATTCAGCATCGCATCAGATACAAAAAAGCAATGGAGACATTCATCTTTCGTATTAAAAGAAATCTATCGAAATTGAGAGAAGAAATTATTTTGGACACCACTGAAAAAATGTTTCATCTGGACAGCATAAATTTCTTATTCTTCCTTCCCTTCAAACACACGTCAATTTCTAGGTCAAGGATCATCCAAAGACCACACTGTTGCTACAACTCGCAGAAAAATAGAAAAATATTACCGGCTGTAATAAATTGGCCAGTGTGATAAATTATCGTTGCTCAGTAATTTATTACAGCCGGTAATACTTTTCCACAAGGGAAGTCCACTGAACGCCGGCTGTAAGATCGCCCGGACTGAAACACACGTTCGATGAGACCAAGACCTTTTTTGCCTCTTTCATCAAGCGCGACGGGTCGGTCAAGATTTACGAAACACCCTGTACAACACACGGACACACGCGCGCGCGCGCGTTCACATACATACATCGAGCATGGCCGGCCGTTTCTCCGTGCGAGACGGGCGTGATTTAAGAAAGGGAGACGCGAGGAAGGTTCGATAGGCCAACGCGACTCTCTCGGACGTGCGGCGCACCGGGCGAGGACGAGAGAGCGATCCGATGCGGCGCTCCGTAGACCAGGGATGCCGAGGTCATTAGCAATAGCCGGCCGCGGTTCGTTCACCCGAGACCTTGAGGATCCCCGAGAGCGCGTACGCGCTCGGGATTGCGTAGCAGCGGATAATTTATATCGATGCACGGATCAATAGCGCGCGATCGCGTGCAGGCTGCGCGAAAACGTCGCGACTCGGCGTGGAGAACGAGTCGAGGGTGTGGGCGAGTGCGTGATGACGGAGCCACGTCGTCGGGAGGATCATCTCCCAGAGACATCGAGGGACATATCGGGAGGGATGCGGCGCACAGTGGGGCCAGATGACATTTTTTGCTTCAAAATTCTCTATCATCGACACCGATGGATGAGGTTGATCCTGAATAAATTCCAAAGAGATCTGTCTAGCTGAAATTTTGAAAAAAATTATCAGTTCAGGGTTCATGGGTTTAGTCTTAGGGTTTGTCTTAAAAGTTTATCGTTTAAAGTACAGTGTCCTGGGTTCGACCTCAATGGGTTTGAGCCTAAATGCGAGCGAGACCCCAGAACTTATAATCACCTTTTAGAAAACTCAGAATTTCAAAGCTCATCATTTCAGCCCACATTAAGAAAGAATTAAGGATTAAAATCCCTCGATTTTGTGCTTAACGGGTTTATATTTGATGTTTTTGTATTTTGGGCATGTGAGTTTTGGGTTAATGAGTTTCTGGTTCAAGATCGATAAAATCTCGAGGTGTCTGTTGATTGGTTTCATAATTTCAATCCGCTGAATACGCTATTAGATAAAAATAAGTGTCGAATAATAAGTATTTCAACAAAAGTTTCTCGCGTTTAACGATAATTTTTCCTCTTTTGGGGCTACTAATCCGAGAAAAAAGTTCTTTTTAAATTTTGGCAAGACAGATCCCTTCGGAATTTATTCAAGATCAACCTCATCCATTGGTGTCGATGATCGGTTGGAAATTCAGCTCTCTAGAGAATTTTGAACCAAAGAATGTCATCTGGCCCCACTGTGCGACGGGACAAGCAATAGCCCGCTCGCGGAGTCGGTTTTGGGAAACTTTGGTTTTAGTCGTAAGGTTTGTAGGCCTTAACCAGTTCACTGATGAGTCGAAATCAACGCTTTTGTGTCAAAACTGGTAAGAGCGAATAATGTATTTTGTATGTAAGCTTATCTATAAAAGGTTTTTCGAATCGCTGATTCCGGAGTCGAAATTTTAAAATTCAAAATGGCGGATCCAATATGGCGACTTCAAACAGCTAACTTTGTTATTCTATTGTGAAAATGTATTATACTCAATATGATTTTTTTGGTCGCCGATAACGGATTAGTTCAAGACGTTAAAACTTTATTTTATTTTGACTATGCACTTAAGACTGGTATGATATTTCTGTTCCGTACGGCTACAAAAAATAAAAAAGTAAAAATACAAAAAATAAAAAAACAAAAAAATTAGAATTTTAAAAATTAAAAAAAATAGAAAAATAGAGTGTAAAATCCTACCGTAGCCTCTACGTGGCGTACTCTGGGATCGTGATATTTCACCAGCTAATACGGAGGTAAAAATATATATAATGAAATACCGTTAGTCATTAGAAGCAAAAATATTGGATCCGCCATTTTGAATTTCTCAAATTTGACTCCAGATTCTTAGTTAGCGACTCAAAAACCTTGAGAGTACCGAGTTTGCGCAAATCCGTTGAAAATTGGCAGAATTATTCAAGATGGACATATATGAGCCATTACCAGAAGTGTCACTGCTTTTTTTGGACCATATGGGCCATTATCAGTGAATTGGTTAAACTAACTTGTTAAAAGTGTGATTTAGTTTTGAAGATTTTTTTTTCAAAAACTGATTTCCTTAAACAAGACAATGAACGAATGTCTCAGTCAGAATATTTTCCCTCGTTTTCTACAACTTTTTCCCATCCTTCTGGCAGCACGTGGATTCCGCGACGATTTTTCTTTGGAGTTGATCCAAATTGTAACAAATTTCCGCATTTCTTTGAAGTTATGAAAGTGTGTATCCTCTAGAGTATGTTGTGTCGACCGGAACAAGTGATAATCGGGTGGAGCAATGTCTGAAGAATATGCAGGGTGCGATAAGACTTACTATTCCAGCTCTAATAGCGTTTGCTTCACTGGTAATACAATTGAAGTCAAGCATTGTCGCGAAGAAGGATCACTTTGCGTCGTTTACTCGCAATTGATCGTTTTTAGTCCAATGCTCGCTTCAATTTGTATAACTGTTGTCGATAACGATCAGCGGTGACAGTTTTATTCGATTTTAACAGTTCACAGTACACAACACCTTCTTGACCCCACCAAATACATAGCGATACCTTTGAACCGTAAATATTGCTCCTCGAAGTGCATTGCTGATTGGCCTGGATCAAGCCATCGGCACAGTGCGCAATGTTGATAAAACTGGCTGGTAAAAATGCGTAGTTTATTCAGAAATGGTCTTGCGTGAAGCGTGGCATTTTCCCGGGCCGAGCTTTGACAACCCGAAAACACCCCCGAAGTTTGGCCGGTTTTAAGAGTGACCTACGACGAGGAATCGTAGCGACGAGCGTTTCGAGGATGAAGGACCTCGTGGTCCTTTGAAGCCCTAGAAGCGAGGCGGAGAGGGAAACGGAAACAGACCGATGGCCTCCACGTGGGTTTTGTAAGCTTGCTTAATTTCTGCCCGTCGAGACGAGGATATTGAAAAACAATTCGACTCTTTTGCGATCCTACGTGTCGATTTCGCTTCTCGATATATCGCGTCTTCTAGGTTCTTCTACCGCTCGATGGCAGGAAGCAACTTTGTTTTTACTAACGGTCCGTAGAAATGTGCGAAATTAGCGAGGCACCGGAATGTCGGGACGAGCGCGGACTCGACATCGTCGCCGAGTGAACGACTCGGTTGAGACGGGAAGTCGAGAACGACTCGCGAGGGATCAATTCGTCGAACCTCTTCGGAGATGCTGACACCAGATGCTCCTCGACTCACGATGGGTTCACGTGCCAGCAAGCTCGCCGTCGCTTGAAAATACCGCAACGTCGGAAATGCGCTTAATGCCTAGCCGAACCTAACTTAGAAAGCGAGTAGAAAGCAACTTTCCAAATTCACGAGTTTCCATTTCCAAGTTTTCAGCTATGTCGCTTTCGCACCCTCGCAAGTCGAGGAGCGTTTTCTAGCGTACATTCAATTTTTCCTTCTATAAAGCTCAGGCATTGTCGATGGACACACTTTCTTCAGATTGTCGAATTATTGTCGGCGGAATACAATGCGCATTACCGCGACTAAATATTCGCGCGAAATCCCGCGAAGAGACAAGGAGAAACCCCGCTGCCGTGGAAGTGGCGGTTGTCGCATTAGCGCCACCCCCGAGTCTCCCCCGACTTGATCGACCCATCCCCGAAGAGGCGAAAATGGAACTACCGCGAGCCAAGTCGCGCAGACTCACTCCACGAGTGCTCTCCGAAGTGACCGGTGGGCGATCTGGATCTTCAGAAGATCGACTTTTCCGATCTCTTTGAAGCGATTCTCGCCTGCTCGATTTTTCTACGCATCGATTCTTTTGAACGTCATGAATTGAATTTCTCGTTAAACGAAGCAGTTTGGTGAATATATCACAAACTCGATTCTCTATCGAAGAGAAACCCAGCAAAGAGGGATCCATCAAAAGACACCTATTATAGTGAGAAAGGATCGATCTTCAGGAAAGCGCTTCTTTATTGTTTGATTTTTTTATGAAACGATTCTTTCGAGCCCAGTTCGACTTTTAGATCAAAGATCGGGGCCGCCCATCGCTAGGACGCGATTACGCGAGGTGCTGGACGCTGTGCCCGTAGGTGGCCACGGTCTTCTCGGCTGCGACCAGCTGTGGATACGCCGCAGGATAATAGACCGGTACAGCGTAGGGCGACTCGCGAGCGGCGATCGCAGGTAGCACGACATGCTGCTCGACGTTCTCCAGCGGTTTCGCCAGCGGCGCGACCAGCGCTCCGGCGTCGTGCAGCTCACTGTGGCCGTAGGCCTCGATCGTCTTCTCGGCCGAGGAGGAGGAGGTCTTCGAGAGCACCGCCGCCGGCTGCACCAAGGCGACGCTCGGGTACCTGAAGGCGGCCAGCAGCGGCGCGGACGCGTGCACCACGTTGTTGCTGTGGGACTCGACAACCTTCTCGGAGACGAGCTTGCCGACGGTGGGCGTGAGAATCCCACATCGCGCTGACCCGAAGATGCACGCCAGGATGAGTACAATCACCTGCGAAGAAGAGACGGGAAATTTGTCGAACGTGAGGCCCTTTGTGCGCTCTGAAGGATAACGGAACGTAGGCGCGGCGCGCGGCACGATTGCTTCTGGCGATTTATGAGTGAAACGTCAAGGCGAGGTTCTCGAGACGGCCGCGTTAAGGAATTGCTATCCTAACAAGAAGTAATTGTTTGCTTTTATATACGCGTTTTTTCCTTCTCTCTTCGTTTAACGATTTCTTTCTTCCATGTGAACGCGCATAATTTCGTATGATTATATGCATGATCAGATGAAGACAAATTTATGTACGGAAGATACATAATTATCAGGTAGCTTAGTTTGTAGAGCAGTCGCCCGGCAAGCGGGGAAGGTCCCGAGTTCGATTCCCGGCCCGGTCTTTACCCATGCGTGACGTAACTCTTAATCTCTCGTCTCTTATCAGTTAATATAGCAAGTATATTAAACATGATAAAAATGGCTTCTTTCCAGTCTTTGATAAAAGGCAGATAATATATCGAAGCATGGTGTTGCCATGGATAGCTCAGTTGAAAGAACATTTGCACAGATTCAATTCTTGCTGAAGTAGTCTACCTCGCTCGTTATATTTTGCTCCATTTCTTATGTAATCAAGCAGATTTGTAGTCACTCTCTCAGCACGAGAATTAATAAATTTATTTAAAAATTATCAAATTCTATTTTGTTTTACAGACGATATAGGCATAAATTATGATGAATTTGAAACAAAATTAACCGTAAATATAAGATATAAAGAAAAACAGACTAGAAAATGGGTAGAAAATAGAAAGTAGCATTCGAAAAAAATCCGGGAAGATAATATCGTCGATGTATTTATTTCGTATTTATATGGTACCTTCATGGAAAACTCTCGGAATTTTCTCAGATTACGCGACAGATTCCCGAAATTTGTCATTTGATTACGATACCAATTGGAAATCTTATCCCAAACGTAGATTATCCATTTGGAGTGGAAATTCTTTCTTCGGTCAATATACCTCGGTACGTTTTTATACGGAAAAAAATAATTTATTAATATAGCAAAAGTTGAAGACTTTGTTCAACAAAATTGATTGTCATAACAAGAGAATTTATCAAATCTCTACGCTGTAGCCCGCCAAAATCATAATAATGTCGCGATGTGAAAGCAGTCGTGTCTACGACATATATATTATCAACAGTCGGAAAAGTATGTCCAGATATGAGTTAGAAGCTTAATTTGTTCGGATTAGGTAGCGCGGCAGCTCTACCTAATTTGTGTGTGACACAAATCGCAAAATATAAATAACAGAGATAGAAAGAGTCGAAGAAACGTAACGATTGGGTAGCTTAGTTTGTAGAGCGGTCGTCCGGCAAGCGGAAGGTCCCGAGTTCGATTCCCGGCCCAGTCTTTACCATGCCTGATATGTACTTTTTCTAATTTCTAATTTCTCTTATCAGTTGATGTAGCAAATATGTCTTGAGAAAACTTCGTTTTCTGTCTTGAATGAAAGGAAGATAATATATATCGTACCATGGTGTTTATGGGTAGCTCAGTTGCAAGAGCATTCGCCCGGAAATAGTTCTTGTTCTGGTAATCTACCTTGCCCGTTATATTTTGCCCATTTTCTTACGCAATCAAGCAAATGTGTACTCATTCGGCACAGACATTACTTAATGTATCTAAGAATTATCAAATTCTATTTTGTTTTTGCAGACGATATGGACAAAATTATGGTAAATTTGAGGCAATTAACCATAAATATGAAACATAAAGTAAAATAGAATAAAAAGTAGATAGAAAATAGAAAATAGCAATTGAGAAAGATCTAACGAAATGATGGGTAGTATTGGTTTTGGCAGGACAATTTCGTCGATGTATCTGTTCCAATTTGTACCGTATCCTCATATAAAATTCTCAGAATTTTCTCAGATTGCACCATAAATTAGCGAAATTCGTTATTAGATTGCGATACCAATTGGAATTCTTATTCCAAACATAAATTATCTGTCTAGAATAGAAACGGAATAGAAACTCTTTCTTCCATAATATGACGTCAGTATGCTTTTATATGGAAAAAAATAATTAGTTAACGTAGAAAGTTTATAGCTTACTCGACAAAATGTTGAACGTTATAACTAAGCAGATATATCAAACTTCTACGTTAAAGTGCGGGATCATAGTAATGCCGCAATAAAAAAGCATTGATGTTTACGACAGACACAAATATTTAATTATAATATACAGGGTGAGTCCCAGCCCGGTAAAATATCTCGAAAACCAAGCATTTTAGAAAAAAATGTTTCGAACAGAAGTTATATGCTTTCAAGGGGGACATAAGACAACTATATTATTTTGTTTACATTTGGCGCTACTTTCGAGATATTCACTGATCGTTATTTTTCTTAAATGGAAACCCCCATTTTTTATTATATCATTATTTTTTACCAATTAATTTGAACAACTTTTGTCTGAAATATTTTTTGATTTGCCTAATACTTTTTGATATATTTAAGGAAAACTTGATAACTTTTTCAATATTTAATTTACGGTAACTATTTGTCGGAAAAAGGTGGTACTAGACTTTTTTACTCTATTTAGACTCAAGAATATATCGTTACAATAGCGCCCTGACTTTTGTTAACTTATTAACTTTTGAAAATTTCAAAATTATCAAATTAATTAACAAAAATCAAATTAACAAAAGTCAGGGCGCTGTTATAGCAATATATTCTCGGGACCATAAAGAGTAGAAAAGTCTAGTAGCACAGAGATTTAAAATGAGACTGTATAATATGACGATATATGATTTTAAATAATTATGAAATTTTAATAATAATAATATGAACATTCAATAATTATATATAATCATGTATAATTTTATATAATTATATATAAACTATTTTAATCGAGATACTTGAAAACTTTGCCGGCAAAACAGCAATTTCCTTCCGCAACATTTACGTCGTATTGACTACACGGAAAATCGCCTTTACACATACACATACAATGAGCGCACGAGCAAAAATGAGTCGGAGAGCATCGCTTGATACACGAAGTACACGAGGAGGACGATAAAAAATTTCCAAATCGACAACTCGAGTTGACAGTTGGCGTAAATATTTGTCCGATACAGAAGTTCCACGGTTCGAACATGCGCTCGTGCCGATCAGGAAAATTTCGACAGCCTCTCCTGCACCTTTACGACTGAATTCGGAAGCTTCGAAATATACTCAAAAGCTTCTCGAAGAAGGACCTCTGTCTGCACGTGACTGCGTTTTCCGATAAACCACGATGAAACCAAGCAAAACTTACATGCACAAGAACTACGAAAGTGTCGCGAGAGTACCGTTTCGATGATCGTCATCCACCTTGAGAAGCCACCCCCTCTCCCCCCCCCCTCCGCGAGAGAGACAACGGAAAAATGTGAATCTTACCAGCCTAAACATGACGACGGGCTTGCGCTACTTTTGGACCGGAGCTTGCGGCCGATCTGCACGTGCAGGCGGATCTGCACGTGCTTATATAGGAGAGCACTTCCGTGATCTTGCGAGGAGACCTTCGAGTACAGGTTCGCACAATAAGAGCTCGACGTCCTGTCAGTCGGCGGTTCCATGAATGCGCCGATGAATATTCGAAACGCGCCAGGAAGGCATCTACGTTCTCGTCTGGAAACGCGCGCGCGTTCCTCTGCCAGACACGAAACCTTCCCAGAAAATCACGGCGACGCATAGTGGGGCGTTTGTAGCAGAAAGTTGGCCAAAATTATTTTTTCGGTTTAAAACATGCTATTAATTATATATATGATGATTATAAAGATTTCGTATGATCACTGAGAAGAAATTGTATTAAAATTAAATAAATATTTGTTCGAATACGACTGTGAATACATTTATTTAAATTATTTTCTAAAATTCAAGAAAAAAGTTTACATTCAGAACCTCTGTATTTCATTTTAGAAATTAGTCGCTTGATTTGAATAAATGTATTCACAGTCGTATTCGAACAAATATTTATTTAATTTTAATACAATTTTTTTTCTCAGTAAAGTTTTTCATGAAATAAAGTGCAAATATACATGTAAAAATATTTTAATAATTAAGAAAGCATAATATTGCACATCGATAAGTATTCAACTAGACAAACTCCAAATTTCTTCATCCAATGAATGTATTCCATCCTCAGAATCAACATCATTTTCATCTATTTCATCTATTGAAATACCTCTTCCTGAGGAGAAGCATATCCAATGTTTCCTTTAAAAATAATTTAGATTTCTTTCTTGGTACAGGTCTCATATTTGTTAATAACGGGTGAGAATTTAATAGAAGTCTGTTGATTATGTCCATATTACAAAAGGAAATAAAAAAAAAACAAACAGAAACAAAAGGAAACTTCATAGCTAAATAATCTTTGGACAAAAGCACATTTACGTTTAGGGGAACAAAAGTAACTACTAAAACTACATCCGCGGTTTTCCGTGGCTAATACTTTCTGATATTTTATCCGGAGAGATTACTCTTCCATTTCATCCAAGAAACGTATAACAGGGATACACCTTGAAGTATAACTAAATTCTTCGAGTTTGACATCGAGAACAAGAAGCAAAAAGATATTATATATAATAAGACACTATTGAATGCTATTTTCAAAATTGTGTATCTACGTGAATGACAATTCAATTGTAATAAATATAGTCTAAAGCGTTTCTTCGAAACCTCGAAACAATCCGTAACGAAAAATTTCGCGCTGCCACTTCTAAGAACCTTAAAATTCTGATAGAAGATCGTATATTATAAAACACTGAGAATTGATGCGTGCAATACGAATAATGTCCAAATTCCGACTAATCAAACCACTTCCTGTTGCCGCGGATGAACAAAAGCATGGCGGCCCATTATTCCGCAGATATTCAACTCAGGTCTAGGACAGTCACTTATGTAGAGCAGGAATGATCTCAAGAAAATTCACTTTTGGCCAGCTTTTCAGGCCAAACATCTCACAGTGCGACGTCGAAACGACGGGAAAATGACCGAGCGACGCGATTGGCAAACGAGTTTTTTCGCTCGTGTTCTCGTCGTCTTCGCGCCGTCATATTTTTCCGTCCGGTCTGGGTGTCCGTGAACGTATTTCCTGTCGCGCGAGATACAACGACTCTCGAAAGGGGGAGCAGGAGGGGAACAAACGAGGCGCGCAGCGGAAACACAGCGAGAGAACGAGTTCGAATATTGCGAAGGAAAAAAGAGCTCCGCGATGCGAACAAACATGAAGATGCAAATATCGAAAACAATCCTGGTGTAAAAATATAAGCATTAAAGACTACAGCGGCAAGATCGAAGTTGTGAAATGGGTCAGCAGTGTATTACGAAAATCGAAGCGGATGACTGGTGTGCGGATTACGTTTTTGCTGCTTGTCGGTCCCGAAAACGTTAAGCTTTTTATCGCCGTCGTGAAGTTTGCGAGGTACACTCAACGGCCGAACAAAGAGGCTATATCGGCGCGATCTTGAGACTTTACTTTTACTCCTTAGCTCCGAGTAACAATAAGCACTTACGCCATAGAAGCGAGAAGAAGCAGCGCTCCTCGGCGGGGAGTGTAAAAAGTGCTCGAGCGTAAAATTACAGCCGAAAACGCGCTTAATCTTCAGGATCGCGCTTATCCATTTCCACTCACTGCGCGACTTTAAAAGTGGCGAATCGTACAAAAGTCGCCTGGCTGCGGCGCCGCGTGTGTGTGCGCGGACAAAATATAATTTCCTGCAGAGGCCATTAGGATAAAATTATATATTAAAAATGCGAGGAGACAATAAAAGTGCAAAAAGGTGCAATAAAAATGAGCTTAAACACATGCGGCGAAAATTTCGTGCGAATTTTCGCAGAAAAATCTCGACAAGGTAAAAAAAAAAATATTAAAAACGTCTGTTATAAAATCAATCCTGTTCAAAAAGACCACGAAGAGAGGATTGAGATAAAATTATATCTCGGGTATTTTTACCCGTTGACAAGAAATGATCAGATGATAAAATAGAAATTAGCTAACAATATAATCTTTATTTTCGTGAAGACGAAATCAAATCGGTTGCTTTCGGGAGAGTATTTCCGAATCACTTTAAAGAGATAATTGTTAGGTTATTTTTATATTGTTCATAGTTTTTCTTTTAACACAGATTACCACCACTGGCAAAAATCCGATGCGCAGAATCAACAAAGAAATTTTTAGCGCCTATAAATACACAAGGTGTAACAAACAAAAAAAAAGATCGGGGACTAACGAAACATTTGAAGCAACATTTGTCAATAAAAATTCAAAAAAGGAATTATTTATACAAAATAATGCCTACGAAGGCTCGTTTTCAAGAAAGAGGACGTTAAAGTTTCTCGAAAAAACAATTCTTCGTTTAACAACTTTTAAACACACAGGATAATATCTCAAAGAAATTTTGTTTGCAGCTTAAGTCGATGGAAAAGTATCAAACATGAAAAAAATTAATTGGCCGTCTCGACCAGTAACGATTAATAAATACAAAAGTTGCAAAATGCTTCCCTTTGTTCAAAAGTTGTTAAACATACAGCTCGTTTCGAGAAACTTTAACTCCTATATTGGAAACGAAGCCCGTGCTTCGCGCCGTGGGGCGCAAGAACAGCCCTTTGCTTTTTTTTGTTTCATTCGTTCACTCTTTTCTTATACAATCGCTCATATAATCTGCCGGATAATCGCCATTATAGGCCTGTTCCGAAATCGATTTCGGAAACTTTGGTTTTAGTTACAAGGTTGGTACGCTTTAAACTAACTTGGATATACGTTCCGTAATTGATCAGCTGATCACACTTGGACGTTCACGGCCGTGTGCCAGTTCTGTTTACAAACATGACTTTGGTTGCTAATTTGGTCATATTAGATAGAGAAATGGGTAAATTTTGTATTACTTGTTATCTTGATTACCGAATCTCCCGATCGCATGAATCAATAATTACGGAACATACTTAACCCGTTCAGGGCGATTTTTTTGTTTCTGAATTCTGGTCGTTTTATCGAAATAGTTATGTATAGAAGCGATTATTAATCAATATTTTACCAAAAATTTTTGCATTAAGATACCATTAATGTAGAAAATGATACAATTTGATACGAAAAGCGATAAGAATTCACAAAGTCGGTCTTTTTGAAACATTTGCTGGTGCACATATGTGTCGATCAGCTTGAAACGGTTAAGTTAGCTTAAGGCCTACCAACCTTATAAAAAGAAAAAACAAGGTCAAAAGGTTTCCAAGATCGATTTCGGCCGTCATAAAACCCGATCAGTCACGACGTGCGTGAGAAAGCCGTGAAAATTTTGGCGCTCAGCCAGTACTTCCGCTCGCGATTATTCCCCGACTTGAGAAACATGTGCGATTTGATATACTGAAGTTGACACATCCGCTAGCACCGCGTCGTGTAGCGACACGCACAGGCGCACTCGTCGGTTTCCGGCGCGCTCGCGCGCGCGCCGCTATATTGAATAATTCGCCAAACTTTCTGCCCTCCTACTCCTCCTACCTCGCGCGCGCGCGCGCGACGGTGGTAACTTTTTTAAAGCTCCGTAAAGAATTGAGCAAGTTAGGTTCGTGAAAAGTACATGGGATGGGTTTGTATGTTTGCTGTAAATATATTCAATACGTGACCCGACGGCGCGACGAAGTTTCGCCCGAGTGTCGGGGAAGGGCTAAAGCCGAAACTCAAACAACCGTTGATCGCCAAGTCGGTAAACACTTTTCATCGAGTCGTTCCAAATCCTATTTTGAGAAAAGCCTCACGTAAACGGATAGCTAGCTAGGCAGGCAGGTATCACGGCTGGACGTGGACCATACGGGCGTGTCCAAATAAAAAAACTATGAGAATCAGATCACCCCGTGATCACGACGCTCCTTGTTTGCTCCGATCGCTCGTGCGAGAGGAAAAAACTTTGGATTCTTTCTCCCCACCGGGGGGCGCGCGCGCACGCGAACAAAAATCTGCGATCCTCCATAAGCTCGGCTGACCGTACGTGATGCCAGGGGAATTAACTTTCTCGCTGCACAGCGGCTTGGGAATTCGGCAAAGTACTCGAGACTGGAGCGGTGCGCCGATAGAAACTCGTCAAGAGTCCTAACTAGTACACGACTCCTCGACACGGCTCGCCATATTGTTACACGCTGTTTTACAAACTTACGTTCACGAGGAGCGGTTCCGCTCCGGTTACGTCCCGATATAAAAAATACAAAAATACAAAAAGATTACAAAATTACAAAAAGATAAAAAGAAATTTAAAAATATTATAAATGGAACCAGATACTCGCCACGTTCACGTCGTTAGTTCTGGGTTAGGCTAAGAGCGAGAGTGATAACGGATTCATAATCGTAGACCCAAAGAACCCCTAGATAACAATTTCATAGAAATCGGAAAAACTTTTAATTTACGCTTCGCCATATTGGATCCGCCATTTTGAGTTTCGGAAATGTGACAACGGATTTATAATCAGCGACCAAAAAAACATAAATATATACATTTTTCCGTATAAGCTTATTACGAAATTTTTCCAAAAACGATTTTTGAAGGAAAAAAGAATATTTTTACAATTATTTTGTTTATAACAAATAACTAATACAAAATAATAGTTGTACGACATGATGTATGCATAAAATAATATCCGAGGATCCCGTAAAGACTTGTTACATGACAAGACATCCTTAACCTAAAATTTAAGAGACATTAAACGGTGGCTAAAAAGATGTGTCACACATGTGTTGACTTGTGCAACAAAGGGTTAAGTTGGCAGAAAAAAGCAAACGGTAAGACATAAGCAGCAGAAGCAAATTAATCAATATTTCTAGGCCGTAAGAAGTGTAATTAATTCTGATTAGTCAATTTCTTAAGTTCTTTGTGTGTTCAAGCCCTTACGAAAAGCGCGAAGACCACCATTTTTGGCCAAATTTTTCCGATAAGAGTGAAGCTAGACAAAGGTCTGCTTTACATTTCGAAATTGGTTTCGGAAATTTTTGTGTCAGTTATAAGGCTGGTAGGCTTTAAACTAACTTTGATGCGTTCCGTAATTAATTAGCTGGTCACGCTTGAACGTTCACAGTCATGTACCATTTCTGTTGACAAACTTGGTTTTGGCTGTTAATTTTGTAATATTAGATAGAGAAACGGATAGATTTTTTTATTACTTATACATGTGTCAGTTGATCAATTACGGAAAGTATCCAGTAGCGTATTCGAGTACGGGTTTTAATCCACCCGAGATCAATTAATAACGTCAAGAGTTCTCTGTTGGGTTACTAAATGAGTAATCGAAACTCAACCCATACGATTGCGAATTGATCCAAAAGACAATGCCGAATATTTGCAAACATTTCAATGAGAAAATTACACATTTCACATGAAATATGGAAACACGTGCTGACATTTGAATTAATGAGAATATAAAAGTATATTATTTTTCCTCGCATTTTTATTTTATATAACACTAAAAATTTTTAAACTTGTCTTTCCTAACCTCATTTCTGTTATTTCAATAAATTTACTTGCGCGAGGTACTTTTTTTACTCGCGTATCTATCGTCTTTGCTTTTATTTGATTGTCAGAATTGTTTGACGCAAACAAAAACTCTCTGTAATTTACTTTGTATAACGTACCTGACCTAAATTCATAATATTTTTTCGGTTGAACGTAAACGTTCATAGCAAATTTGATTTAGTTGATTCCGGATGGGTCAAAATCTATGCCATTGGAATATGCTATAAGTTTGTTTAGGGCCTATCAATCTTATATGATAACTAAAACCAAAGTTTTCAAAACCGATTTCGAACGTAATTCTAGATTACACCGTTCATCCTTTAACGCCTACTGGTAACTATAGTTACCAAAAACGCATTTAAGAGTCCATAACTTAGTCAAGAAAGAAGATATTTTTGTTTTCTTTGCACCACTGTAAAGGTGAATTCTTCTTCTAAAAAATGGTATATAGATTGTACGTAGATTCGGTTTAGTCTGTTTTTAGCTCAGTTTTAATGATAACATGTTTTCTCAAATTTCAAATAGGCATAGTTAGCATTGTTACTGATCTCTAGAAGTGCACTATAAATGAATAGATTGGTATCTGTTATAATTTTATATATTTGGAAGCTTTCTTAGATACAAAATGTGAAATTAAAAGAATACAGAAATTCAAAATGGCGAATCCAATATGGTGGACACGAAAATCAAGAAATCAATCTATTTTCATGAAACCTGATGACCTACAGTTTTTTATGCAGCGAAAAATGAAGGGACGATTGACTATCTAAATGGTGATCTATAAGATATTCTTCTGAAACAGTAAGTTTGACGCTCTGAATGATAAACTTCACTCACAAATATAGTAAAGTTTCAGCTCAAAAATGTCAAGCCGATTATCAGAGTTATGTCATATAGATTACCCTTCATTTTTCTCTGTATAGGTTGCTCATTTCGTATATGCTTTTAGGATCCAAGTCATATTTACCAACAAACAAAAAACGAACGATAAAAAAATCAAACTAACGAAATTAACAAACGAAAAGCGGAAACTTCATGTATTCATTTATTCAGAAGGTAGTTTTTCGTAGATATAAAATTCTGATATTTTTTTTGGTTATCACTACTTATAGTCTCAATCCAAAAAAACTCAAATTTTATTCTTAAAACACTTATCAAAAAGTCGGGCGTTAAAGGGTTAAATCGGTTGCGCATCGAATTGGCGCGGACTGAACACTTCACACACCGATCCATCTCGAAACGAATTAGGTTTTTAGTCCAGATAGAGTTCTATATCGATTTTAGATTCTCCCAGTCGAAAATAATTCGTTGAAAAGACGTCGTTTCGAAAATAAAAAATCTAAATTTGGCTTGGTTCGACGTCGAAACACGTATTTTACGTATTGCGTACTGGCGGTATTACTAGCTTGGCTTCGCACGATGCGAGAGCTTCTGTACTGACTAGAACTCAATTCTGCTCAACTCTGCGAAGGCATTGAGGAAATAAACAGGCAGCCGCTGTTGCGGCACATCGTCGGGAGAATGTAATTGCATTATTCTTAATTATCAAATGGTAGCGTAATGTTGTAGAGAGAGGCAACTGCTAATTACGTTAAATAAAACCGTGGTTTTAGAAAACCGCAATTTTTAACTTTTGCAATATCATAGATTAAAGAGAAATGTGGAAAATACTGCGCAAGTTGCTCGTATAAATATTTTGTGATGTAATTCCGCTATTACGCGCAATTATATTCCTTTCACTCGCGAAAAAAGGATTAATTTTGGAATTAACAAATTCCAAACATATAGCACACATTTAACATATTAAGTTTAATCAAAATAATGGATTTAAAAATGTTCAAGCGGAGAATATACTTCGATCGCCGAAAATGATAGCTCAGGCAATTCTTTCTGATTAGCTCCGATAATGAGAATTACGTGAGCCACGTGAGAGAATTAGCAGCGGGTCTACCGCGGAAGAAATCCAGCGGTGTGGCCAAGAACCAGCTGATTTCCAGCAAGATGGCCAGCAGCAGGATAGCAGCTAGTACAGAGGAGCAAGCGCAACCCTTTAGGAAAAAGTCGAGTCCTTTAGCGTATCGAAGATCAGAAGTCCATGGCATTCTTCTCGTCGCGCCGCCATCATCGCGTTCCTCTAGTCTAGGATCTAGATTCCAAGAGCGGGGTAGAGGGATGAAGGAGAACACGCAGTGGCTTTTACGCAAAAGGCAGAAACGTCGGTTTTATTGCTTAATCGCAGCGATCGGTCGGTCGGTCGGCCGGCCAGTGGCTGCTACAAAGCTGTCGCGGTCGTTCGACTGACCGGTCGTTCCGAGGAAGCCGCGCGTCCGTCCAGCTGGCCGGGCACGGAGGCGAGGACGTCGTCGCCATCGGCGGCCATGGCGACGGACGGCCGGAGCGCATCTGTACAGGTCCCTTCAGTGGAGAGCGACGACGGGGGCGTGGGCGGCGTAGGCGACCGGGGCGTGAGCGACGGCGACGGCGGGCGCTGCGGCGACGACTGGCGCAGCTGCGACGACCGGCGCGGCCTTGACGACCGGCGCGGTGTAGGCGATCGGCGCGGCGGCGACCAACGGGCTCTTCACCGAGACTTTGTAGGTGTTGGCGTAGCTGGTGGCGATCGGCAAGCCGTGGGCGACCGGCACGCTGTGGGCGACTGCGACCGGCGCTGCGACGGCGACGGGCGCGTGCAGGTAACCTGGTGCGGCTGTGGCGCAGGCCAGCAGGGCGAACAGAGCGACGAGCTTGTACATGGTTGCTTGGTGGCTGGCGAGTGGCTGGCTGGTGGCTGGTCGGTTTACTTGCTGGCTCGGAGCGGTTGAAGTGATGCCTGGACGACGTCCACGAGGCCTTATATCCGCCGGCTTGACCCCGGCAGCCCCACCGCGCGGCCAGCCGGTCCCGGCGGTTCCTGTCGCCTTCCTCGTGACCGTCGCCCGGCTGCTGCTCTCCTTGCTCGTTTTTCGCGCGCCCGCCACGTCGCAGGAGCACTGCCAAGGACTGCCGGCGCGGACCCTTCACCGCGCTCGGTGCGTCGCCTTCGTCGGCCGCAGCCTCGACGCCTCGGGGCGCGAGGGGACGGACGTTGGCTGATGTTGTTTCTGCGGGAAGGTCGCGGGAAAGATGGGCGCGAAAGGGCGCTCCTTCGACTCGGCCTTTTTTCGTCGCGCGCGCGCGCACGACCTTACGACCGCGGCCGTGTCCGTTTGTGTCTCCTTTGTGCCTCCCCGGACGCCTTCGGGGGTTCAATGGCACAGCCTCGGCGCGGGATCGATCATCTAGCTTCGAGTAGGCATAGGCTCGTCGCCGGCGATCTTGCGCGATTATCGAGCATTTGTTACACCTGAACGCCGGGAGGGTCGCCTCGCTGCAGGACGATTTGTCGTTTTCGCGAATTTGTTGTTTCGTTAATGGCGTCGCTCAGGAAACGAACCTGATTGTCGCTCAGGAAACGAGTTTAATTGTCGCGTTTTATTTCGCCGGCCGCAGTCGCGGCCAGTGACGGCGAGGCCCTCTATTGTTGCGCGAGCGCACATCGCCGCCTGATATTTGGATAATTGAAACGCTCGCCGGCCATTAGAGCCGGGCTCTCCGCTTGAAAACGGTCAATTCGCTCGGAAAGGACGTTGCTAGCTCTGACTTTGGTCGTTTAGGAGGCGACGTTACTCTCCCCTTTTGTACCTTCTCTCTGTTTCAGTGCCTGCGATTTGCGCGGCGATTTACGAGCCGGGTCGCCTTGCTCGCGGCTTTTTATTACACGGCAACACGCGTACCTCGCTCTCGACAAGCGGGCGGATCTTTTTTCTCGGGTGCTCGCGGAAATTCTTCGGCTTCGATCGATCTCTAGGATCGCTCGGCGACAACTCGCGAAGAGGCTTCGGGGCGGTGCCCCCCTCCTCCTCCATCATTGTTCCCTCGGGCGACTCGTCAATCGGAGGAATAGTATGATGCAGCTATGTTAATGAGACCTTCTGATTGTTTCTCTCGAAATTCCTCCGGAAAATTCGGCCAAGCTACTCGGATCTTTTCACTCGCGTACCAATGGTGGATTTTCCTCTCTGAATGGTCGAGCTCGAAATGTTTGCGTTCGGAATTTAAGAGTGCGTCCGATGTACATATGTCGCGGGAAATTTGATTAATTTGAGGGAATTATACATCATGGCCGGCCAGTGCGCATAATTCCCGTTTGCTTTGGGAAATTTAAATAATGAGAGCAAAAATGTCGGAATCGATCAGAGTGACCGATTGTCACGTAGAATGCGCACGAGCAAATAGAAAATGTGATTAAAAGGAGAGTACGATAAGAATACTCTTAAGCGCGAAATAAGTAAGAATATTTAAGTGTGTGGCAACACATAGTAAGCGAAAAGTTGGGATTATGAGAAACGGTCCTCCGTAAAAGAAATTGATCTTTCAACCCTGTGTCCCTGTTCAACACAGAGACGTCTGCCAATCTCTGCAGACTGTCCATTTTTAATATATGGCAGACTCGTGAATCTAATAAGAAAGATCTTAGCACCTAACCTAACCTAACCTAACTTTTAACCTTCTCTACGCAGAAAAATCAACTGAAAAACAAGGTGATTTATCAAAGTGACTATTCAGCGTTGGAAAATGTGCACAATGACCGGGAAATTTAATTAAATCTCTTTTATGCTCATCATTTTGACCGAGCAATTTGGGAATTATGCGTATTGGCGTCGATTATCGTGTATGATTCCCAATTACTGAAATTTCCCGTAACCTGTACACCCATACAGTGAACTCAGCTTGTGAAGAGTCACGTTTCGAAAGAAGGGAATGACAAAGTCAGCGATATTGACCCAAACTGCAAACCTTTAGAACCTAATGGATTATCTTGTACGCCACAGTAGTAGTTGTAAGACAGTATTTTTTAACCAAAAAAATGACGGGAACATGACAAAAATGAATCAAAAAGGTCCAAATATTGGCTACTTAAGGTAATGAATGATAATGAATAGACAGACTTAACCCATTGGATTTTATGCTTAGACTACGTGAGATACTATCAAAGTAACGTATATAAAGGAAAAAGAATAATATGAAAGTCATGTAAAAGTTCAAGAAAGAACGATTGTTTAAAGACAATTTTTAAAGACAGAGTCATGCGACTCCACTCATTACTTTCGCAGTATTTTACGACTCCAAACTCTTATGCATGTATAAAGCCCTAGGTGCTTAGGTGTGGGTATGAGTGTGCGTGCGTGTGTGTGTGTATGTATGTGGGTGGATGAATACATGCGTGCGCGCACTAATTCTCGACCGGCGATTTAATTGCGGACAGTTTTCATCGGTCGTTTTCACGGCAACTGCTCGCCGTTTTGTTCTGATATATTCTAACAGTCGTTTCTGCGATTTTTCTGCGACCTTTTGAACGACAATTTATTGCAAGATTGTTTACTTATCATATTATGCATAGAGAGGGAGTTTGGAGTCGTAAAATACTGTGGGAGCGACGAACCGCGGGGTCTCTGCTCTCTGTGCAACACATACACACACACACATGCACGCACACTCATACCCACACCTAAGCACCTAGGGCTTTATACATGCATAAGAGTTTGGAGTCGTAAAATACTGCGAAAGTAATGAGTGGAGTCGCATGACTCTGTCTTTAAAAATTGTCTTTAAACAATCGTTCTTTCTTGAACTTTTACATGACTTTCATATTATTCTTTTTCCTTTATATACGTTACTTTGATAGTATCTCACGTAGTCTAAGCATAAAATCCAATGGGCTAAGTCTGTCCATTCATTACCTTAAGTAGCCAACATTTGGACCTTTTTGATTCATTTTTGCCATGTTCCCGTCATTTTTTTTGGTTAAAAAATATTGTCTTACAACTACTACTGTGGCATGCAAGATAATCCGTTAAGTTCTAAAGGTTTGCAGTTTGGGCCAATATCGCTGATTTTTTCACTCCTTTCTTTCTCGTAAGAAACACATTGTGCGCTCCAGAAGGTTGCATCGGAGATAACGCGGATACCTCACTTGTTGCTCGCGCGTTTTTACACGAGATTTCATGTTTCAAGCGTCCTGTTTTAATAATATCAATGCACAGTATTAATAATATCAATGCACATATCTTAAAACTGTGCATTTCTAGTATCTGGTAAACTCGTAAATTTAACAAGGCGAAAGATCGTAGCACCGACCTATAACCTAGCTCAACCTTATTCTACGCGAAAAAATCACCTGTAAAACAAGGTGATTTATCAAAGTGTCCATTCAGCGTTGGAAAATATGCATAACGCGCATTTAGGTATCTTAAAAGTAATGTAATATGTTCGAACCTGACGCGTTTGAATAATTTAATAACGCGACTTCAAACGTGCGGGACGAACCTCGGCCAAATTACACGCTCGCGCGATTTCCAGCGCGTCGCCTCAGATAATTAGCAATGGCAATGTGCGAATACGTGGAGAGAGGAACACGCAAAATGCGTGGGATCGAGAAGACATCGGTGGAGTGAGACCTGACAAATATCGAAGCTGTTACATCCGAGTCGCACGAAACGTCGGATGGATCAAGAACCCACTCAAAGTCTCGGTCGAATTCTCATCTGTGTCATGATGAGGCTTAGTCTACAACAGATGATTTGAAAAATTGACCAATTACAGTCGAATATCCTCCTTAACTTTGATTGCGATTGGTCAGTTTCTTAATGCTTAAGGTTTAAAGTGCTTATTTGACGTGTTGGAAATTGCCCAATTCACTTAAGGCCAGAAACTGCAACTTAAATTGGTACTTTAAGCCTCAGGTCTTAAGAAATTGATCAATCATAGACAATGTTAAGAAGAATATTCGACTATTAGTTGGTCAGTTTCTTAAAACTTAAATCATCTATTGTAGGCGAGACCTGACACACCTCCGGCTGTTGCTCCAAGTGGATTCCCAACCCAAGCGTCACTCGGGCCCAAGAGATCCAGGTAACACGCGCAGCTGATCACCCCGAGAAGCGTCAACGATCCATCAAATTAGCAATCCCCCGTCGCGGCGTTAACGAGAAGAAACCGCGCTTGCGAAATACCCGGCGGCGGGCGTGACGAGCGATCGGACCTCTTCTGGCCGTTCTCGCGCAGAATTCGCCCAAATTCCTGCGTTAACACGTTCTCCTCGGCACGAACAATCGGATAACGCGTGTACGCGTACGTGTGCGTCGCGGCGGCCAGAGCCGGCGTTGCAAGCGGCTTATCCGTCGGCGGGCGGGGCGGGTGAGGGGCGGGGGGAGGGGGGGGGAAGAGGGGGGCGTTGTGACACGAGTCGCGAAAGTACACGCTCGACTTACTCAATTTCGCGCGACGTACTTCGCATACGGCCGAGACGACACAACAGGTACAGCCCCAACCTGCATACGACGAGGCGTGTGCGTGTCCTTTTCTCTCTCTCTCTCCTCTCCCTCTCTTTCTCCGTGCGTCTCACGGCGTTACGCAGGTCGTCGCGGGCCTTGCGCAATCACGCAGCCGACAATGACGACAATGCGTGACAACTCACGCTGACGAAAATTGCAGCCGCCGACGAGCCGACTGGGTCTCTATCGAGCATCTTTGTCTATCCGTTTAGTCTCTATCGCCTTTATCTCTCCCTCTCTATGCAATAGTGCGCCGCGTGTGCACCGCATAAGATATCGCGCGTCTTTGCGCAAGCTGCAGCCCCGGCAAAGCCCGCAGTCGACGTCAGTTGGCGAATTACAATGACGAGTGTCGTTGCGACTGATTAAAGTTGCACGGTCGCCTCCCGCGGTTAAGTTCGCTCGAGAGATTCATAATGCAACGCGGCCTATAGACGGATGAATAGATAATCACAGAGAGAGAGAGAGAGAGAGAGAGAGGGGGGGGAGAGAGGGGAGATTACAGATTTACATATTTAACTTATTAGCAAATTGATGAATTCGTAATCTCGAGCGAAAGCAAACTCCGTCAATTTCGCAGTCGAATATTGCGCAATTACGTACGTAGACGATATAAAAATCAGCCGAATTGCACACATATTTAGAATAAAAGCCAGCCCATCGAAGAGAGAGATAGACAGCCAGAGGGGAAAAAAGAGAGAAGCGCTCGGTCGCGATTCACAATCGAAAATCAAACACTCGGTCACCGCGCTTGAAGCCGATCCATCAATCATCGTCCATAACGGTGACACAACCGACTTCCCCCCCCCCCCCACCTCTCTGTCGCCCTCTTTGTCCGCGAATCCGGAAGACCTTGGCCCACGAACGCGCGTAGCGCCGGCTTCCCGGCGCCCACGAGGTAGGACCTACCGGAGGATAACCAGTTCCTCTCCGCGCGCGAGCAGGGCAGTTCTCGTCCCGCTATAAAAAAGTAGCGGCCCGCGGCTTTGGGCATTCAGTCGTCAGCGAACGCAGCGCACCGCCACACCTGCCCGACGGAGAGAAAACGAAGCGTCACCCT